AGGTATAGCAATGGGTTCATCAGTTTCTCCTATTGTAAACGATTAACTTTACCCTTAACCTGGCCATTTTTTGGATTATTAATATGGATATATAATTGTAGAACTTGAAGAGAATTTATAGAAAATATTCTTTGTTGTTTTTCTACATATTTGTCAACTGGATTATAATCTGACCCATCAATTATTTTCTGCCTTATCCCTCGATTAGTACGTAACTTCATTTGTTATTTAGTCTCGAATAAACTTATAAGAGATAATACTTTTTACGAATATCTCAGCACCATGGTTTTATTATCTATGATAAGTGTTAGTAATTCCAGAACATTTGATCATATTATGAACATTGCTGAGAATTAACAAGTTGATATATCTGATTGTCTACATAAACATTAAATCTATAATAGAGTAAATGTATATCAGAATAAAATACCCCAAGCTTGTAATCGAGTACAGGTCTTGTAAACTTGGTTTAGAGCCATACATTCTTATACTTTACCCAACTGCCCATACGAATGTGCAGAGAGCAATTCAGACCAGCAGCCAAATGACTGGAAATAAGTTACTTTGATTAGTAAGGAAAAATATTTGCCAAATTACTAAGAATAAGACATCTTCAAAACGGATTCACTATGAAGAGGTTTAAACTTTATAGAATGGATTAAAATGTAGCTTGGGTTATTTTTTGATCAACCTAAAATAGAATATTGCAAAGGCCCTGTAAACTGATAAAATCAATCCAAACTCAGTTATCTACGACCGTAAAAATGGCTCAATAATGAGATTATGCACACACTTATTGATTTTTTTCTTGAAAAAGTTCAAGAAATATAGTCTTAGTTATGGAATTTTTATGAGTTTCTCACAAAAGATTCATCATCTAGATGATAAGATTTTATTTATTTTGTCTCTCTTGCATACACATAGTGTCTAGTGTTTTCAATTTTAGAGAATTCAACCTTGTCTTTTCGTGTGGCTTTGATCAAATTGAAAAGAAATTGTTGCTATATATAGTATGGATTCTTTCTCATTCAAAAAAATTATATTTACAATACGATTAGTGGTTTTACTAAATACATCAACGTCAGATATGTTGTATTCTAGTTTGTGTTGACCATACATGTCAAGTTCTATGTTGAATAATACCTATACTTTCTTCAGTATACAAAACGTAGAAATAAAGTAAAATGGACGGCTAGTCATTATGATAATCCGCGTAGAGGGACTGGTCTAGTGAAAATTCGGAGTAACGAACAAACAGTTCTAATGGTTTGTTCTCGAATGAGTTAGTCTGGTTAGACCAAATGACTGACTACAGAAATCTGGTTGAAACGTACCCGCAGATGTACAATTTTTGATTGGACTGTAAATTATGACAGAAAACTTTGGGTGAAATTGCTCTAAATTGTGTACTCTTTCACTATCTTACCACAAATTCTGCATTATGATACTAATTCAAAAATCTTATCCCAGAGACTTATGTAATCCTTTTCGGCTTACCTAGTTTTCATTATCAATTAACTCTACCAATATTCCAGCCTGTTTCCTTTATTATTTTGGTAATTTTCAATCACCAAGCTTTGAACGTGTTATGGCACATATCGATACATTTGCTTTGTCTAATCCCTTATGACTGGAAAATCATTCATAAAATATGTGCAATTAATAAGGTTAGACCTGCTAATTTCAAGTAAATTGAGCATTTGCAAGAATATTAACAATAAAATATGTGGGATAACCTAATCAACAGAAATATGGATTTCCGATGTTTCATGGTCTGATATAAGTCGCTTCAGAGTAAATACATTAACACAAGTTCAATCAAAATCATAATGGTTCTGATTACGTTAGTGTTATTTTCAGTCAAGAAAATCCTGTTTATTTGTGCACACATTAGTAGGTATTAGGTGTGAAGTTCCTTGCATTAGGGATTCTACCTGTGAAATCTCAAATCGTGCAAAGGAACGTCTAAGCTACATAATCGTAAAAAACCTACAAATCAAATGGGCAATATAAGTACATGCTGTTTTTGAAAACTACCAAACCGATGTTAGAAATATCAAAATAATTCAGAAAGATCTTCCTAACCACAAAGGTATTTCATATAATCTTAAATCCCTCTACGATCACGAGAAAGGACGGCCTGACTATCTATCCGAACTGGACTGAACCACATTTGATTCTATTCATGTCTCACACCATATACATACATACGCAAACAAATGCCAACTTTACTCTACATCACAAATGTCACATTTTACACACAAGGTGGTGTCTCACCCAAAATCACCTGAACTAAAAATGACATGACACTGAAATAACCAGGTTTCATACACATAGTTCCCTTTATCATTTTGAAAAGAGCAAGAACAAAGATTTTAGCAGAATAGCATGAATTCATTTTATTTCGTAGGTTCTCGTCAGCTGCTTACAACCTGTAATATTTAAAAATCATAATTGCATAATGGATTTAAATTGCTTACAGAATATTGTAAATATATACCTAATGTGAAAGAATATTCTACAACATTAATTGTGACAACAGTTCAAAAATGGGTTAGAAACAAGTGATTACATAATGAATAAACATTGATAGGAATATAGTGGTTAGAGTTCAGTTGAAAGATTATTAATTTGAAAGATAGTTGAAAAATTAAATTAGAATCAATGCAACAGAAAAAAGAGGAAAAATAAGAGAAAAAAATTTAAGGTTCAGTGAAGGAATATTTGTCACCAGGGTAAGGAAAGATTAACCACCGTCTCCTTTTGAATACATAGGTCAGGTTTTTGTCGCCTGATGGCAATGGCTTCAGCAAACTTCAGAAGACTGGAGTTTGGCTGCTTACTAATCACCCTAAAGGATTGTAAGGTATCTACCTGATGTCCTGTATCAAGGAGATGTTTGGTGATCGCACTGTTCAGAGTCTTTCTTTCCCTTGTTCTAAGACTTTTTGGAACATGTTCAAAGAATCTAAGATATGCTCTCCTTTCAGTTCGGCCGATGTAGCTGCTTTGGCAGGTACACGTAAATTTATAAATACAGTTGGCGGTAACATGAAAGGGTTGCTTATCGATCTTTGATTGGGTTATTGAACATGTTGTTTTATAGAGAATTAAAAGTTTAGCAGCCGGATAAGTTCTGGCTAGCGCTGTATTCAGTCTCTTGTTGATAATTTGTGCGACGTCATCACCTTTAAAGTTAAGATTTATATATACTGGTCAATAAAAAACCAGTATATATAAATCTTAACTTTAAAGGTGATGACGTCGCACAAATTATCAACAAGAGACTGAATACAGCGCTAGCCAGAACTTATCCGGCTGCTAAACTTTTAATTCTCTATAAAACAACATGTTCAATAACCCAATCAAAGATCGATAAGCAACCCTTTCATGTTACCGCCAACTGTATTTATAAATTTACGTGTACCTGCCAAAGCAGCTACATCGGCCGAACTGAAAGGAGAGCATATCTTAGATTCTTTGAACATGTTCCAAAAAGTCTTAGAACAAGGGAAAGAAAGACTCTGAACAGTGCGATCACCAAACATCTCCTTGATACAGGACATCAGGTAGATACCTTACAATCCTTTAGGGTGATTAGTAAGCAGCCAAACTCCAGTCTTCTGAAGTTTGCTGAAGCCATTGCCATCAGGCGACAAAAACCTGACCTATGTATTCAAAAGGAGACGGTGGTTAATCTTTCCTTACCCTGGTGACAAATATTCCTTCACTGAACCTTAAATTTTTTTCTCTTATTTTTCCTCTTTTTTCTGTTGCATTGATTCTAATTTAATTTTTCAACTATCTTTCAAATTAATAATCTTTCAACTGAACTCTAACCACTATATTCCTATCAATGTTTATTCATTATGTAATCACTTGTTTCTAACCCATTTTTGAACTGTTGTCACAATTAATGTTGTAGAATATTCTTTCACATTAGGTATATATTTACAATATTCTGTAAGCAATTTACATCCATTATGCAATTATGATTTTTAAATATTACAGGTTGTAAGCAGCTGACGAGAACCTACGAAATAACCAGGTTTATTTTGATAGTTTCTCTATACTAATCAAACTTGTGTTTTCATTGTTATTTATTTACTCAGAAGAATTGCCTCACACTATGTCACGAATTTTTGTGCATCCTAATATATACCCACTGGAGAATCACAAATATATCATTAATTTATAATCATTCGTAATACGCATTTACTGAACTTTTAGTGAGTCTACCCAACCTTACCAGCATTACGATTTACTGAATAACCGTACTTATCGTATAAAAATTTCTATGCAAACGGCTCATTTCTATATTGATAGGAAGTATTACAGAACGTTGTTGTACAATTTCTTTATACAGGATAAATCTTGTATGAAGCGTTAATGAGCTACGAAATAAAGAAAAACTATCAGAATAAACATTAAATTTGACCGAAGAAATGAGTTATTCTTGATTTTCAGGTTAAGATGTTAATTCTGTAGGCGAGAACAGGTACAACACTTTTCAGAAAGCTCGATTTATTGACTGACACTGAGTAACTAATCTCAGATATCAACCAAATGAGTACTATTAAGAAAACATGCATTAAGGAATACGTCTTTTATGAATATAATTTGAATACTTGAAAGTTAGTCTTCGTTCCAAATGCCGTTACAAACAGCATCTTTCCCTTATATTCAATTTTAATGTCACTATATGAGTTATTATACAGAACCTGTAAGAAAAATAACTACTAATGTCGAATGAGTTGACGAAGTAATTATGATAGCATTACAGCAGCAAATAGTTCAAGAAATCTTTCAGAAGCCAGAATGATCTAAGACGAAGAGAGATTTTAAGTTTAAGAGAGTAAAGATTAGAATTTCATAGGCACAACTAGTCACCTGGATGACGTAAATGCAATAATTAACGAGCATATTTAGGCTTAGTTCTTGTTGACTACCTCAAAATAGACGATACACTTTGTGCCGCAACAGAGGAAAAGACAAAATTTAGTTGACTAAACAGTACAATTATCTAATTATCCCCACTGTAGTTGAACATCAAATAAAAATATGAAAAAAAACTCATAGAGCTACTGTCAACCAGATTACTGCATTTTAATAACTCTATAAAATCATTACAAGGACAAATTAATTAAGGATGAACTAATAATATATACTTAAATATCTAAGTATACGATTAAGAATTACAGAGTCTGGCGCATAAAAATGGGTCAGAAATAATTATTGAGAATAAAATATACAAATACCTTGCAGAAACTCTAAGAAACAGATTATTCTTACATAAACTAAGAACAAATAATACATACTCTGTTCGTGAACAACTGAAATATGAAAGTTATGAAAGTACTATACGAATACTTGTATATATATGTATACAAAAACTAATAGGTTTGTAATTGTTACTAGTTGCATTTTAGAACGCTAGATGAAAAGAAAACTTGGATAAATTTTAAAACTTGAAAATTAACAATGTACTTGAAATACTTTTCATAAAAAAGCATATTGTTTAAATCTGAAGGAAGTATGTTCGTGGATCCTCAACAAATTCCTTGATTTTACGTAAAAACGTTACTGCTTCACGACCGTCGATCAAACGATGATCATAAGTTAGGGCAACATACATCATTGGACGGATGACAACTTGTCCATTTCGTGCAACCGGTCGATCAAATACGCCATACAAACCCAAGATTGCAGATTGGGGTGGATTGATTATAGGGGTACCAAATAATGAGCCAAACACACCACCGTTGCTAATTGTAAACGTCCCTCCATCCATATCTTCAACAGCCAGTTTTCCGTCACGGGCCTTCACACCTAAATCATTGATACCACGTTCAATATCAGCATAATTCATTTTCTCAACATTGCGCAATACAGGAACAACAAGACCCTTAGGGGTTGCCACTGCAATACTAATATCAACATAATCTCTGTATATAATGTCCGGGCCATCAATGACAGCATTGACGGCTGGTTGATCCATAAGAGCAACTGCAGAAGCTTTAGCAAACGTAGACATCATTCCTAACTTCACACCATGATTTTTTAGGAAGATATCTTTATACTGCCTTCTAAGTTCGAAAAGATTTGACATATCAATCTCATTAAATGTGCTTAACATTGCACACGTATTCTGGGCATCTTTTAGACGTTGGGCTATCCGAAGCCTCATACGGCTCATCTTTACACGCTGTTCTGCACGTGCACTATCAAGAGATGGGGATAAGGATGAAGTTGTTGCAAGACTTTGAGCTATTTCTGGAGGTGGAGTAACTGGTGAAGGAGCTCGAGGTGAGACGAGAGGCCTCTCTTCAGGCTGCTTTTTTGCAGTCTCTTGGGGTAGCTTTTCAGAAACCGTGGAAGTTGGAACAGCACCCTCCTCCATTTTAAAAATATCTTGACCTGCAGTAACTTTTCCTCCATCTTCAACAAGAAATTGTGTTATCACACCTGAACATGGGGCTGGGACAGGGACATTAGTTTTGTCAGTCTCGATTTCCGCAACCAAATCGTCTACATTTACTGTATCACCGACGGCCTTTTTCCATACAATATCCCCTTCTGTGACAGATTCGGCGAATGGAGGTACATTAACTACACGTATAGCAAAAATATAGGGACTGAAGTGCAGTTGCCGTAAAGATATCCTGATTAAACAAAAAGAAAAAAATTTTTATACAATCTCCACAGTTTTATGCAAAATTCTAGAACCAACCTTTAGACCATCGAATATAAAAATGCAATCAGCAATAGTATTGGGTTATCAGCTTATATAAAAGAATTCAGGACTTCAGAAATCACTCTCCACTTTCAAGAAAGTGATTTAAAATAATCTTCCTGTCGAGCGAAGAATTAAACGATGAGAAATAATATATGGTTAGAGCAAATCAGAGAGTGTATCAGTTCAACTGTTTTCCAGAACCTTTGGGTAGTTTCAGGTTACTAGAGAATACTAAACATGCTTTTCTTTATAGTGAGTCCCAATAATGCACGTCAGTCAACTGCTACATTATTTTTATCAGCGTTTAAGAAGGATAACGTGTAAACTGAGTTAGATACATGACAAGGGAAATCAAAGTGAATTTATAGACGAACCTATGCATTTTCTAGTGAAAACTTGTAAACCTTGAATAAATAATAGAAAAGTCCTCATCTATCCCATATGAGTGGTAGTAGCAAAACAATCTTTTAGAAAGCAACTTATATCTGAAAACCAATAAACGATTTTGTTTTTAGTGGTTGTATACACGGTCAAATTCTAGGACGCAAAAGTCTATGAGAAATGGTAGGATGGGCCTGAAATGTTGGTAATGACTGAGTGGACTTGAAAAATAAACGCAGAGTACTAATTATCGAAATTAAGGGAGATGATTTGAGTAGTCAATACCTTAAGTAGTTGCAACTCTCACTGATTCACTCACCCCGGTCATTGTAGGTTGGTCAGCGAGTAGAAATAATCGCTAAATAACTAAGTTCGACTCTCAAAACCCTGTAATTTTTAATCGCAACTTTACGAAGCGTTTTTAGACTGAAAAGACAGACAGAGAGCTGGAACGTCTAGAAATTGGTAGTGTTAATCGAAGGGAATAGGCTGATATTAAGATATTAAAAAGTGATAACAAGCTTGAGTATAAGAGCGTTTGCGTTAACAATCACCGAATCCAAGAGTTAGATTTTCATTATAATCTAGTTGTGACAGATCTTTAACTGCAAAACTGTATATAGAGTAAAATTGTCTGTGTAAGTAAATTTTCTGGGGATCATTTCTATGTCAATTTGTCTAGCTTAATTCAAGACCAAGATATACGACGGAAACAAGTGGTTTACTATAGTTAAAGTGCGTTGGTGTTTTCTGAAGAACCTGTAGATTTAAAGTAGACTTACCTAGAGGCGAAATAACAACCATGGTCTGAAAAACAAATCGGTTTAAAAGCTGTACATGTACGACAAGGAGAAGTGATATTCACACAACGCTTGACAAAAATATTCGAAAGAAACGGTCGTAATCTCATTGCAACGGCTTAACTCATTCAGGCGCTTTATCTACATGTAAATCAAACGCAAGTTAAAACAAGTCGTGTTTCTAACCTATGAAAAAGGTTTTGATGCAGGGAGATGATATGTTTTAAGCCCTTTTTACCTTCTCTGTGACTGATTAGGAGTTCAAAAACTGTGAAACTAAGACTTTCCTGAACAGGGATAGTGAGTCGTTGGTAGCTATAGGTCTGGTTTATAGAAAACTGATCGCAGTTCTGAAGTGACATGTTCTCTTATCTAGATACTTTATGACATGAAGTTCAATCATGTTAGTTCTGCAAGACACACCCCCAGATGAAGGCGCTCAGTCAGATATCTGGACCAAATGTATTTTTCCTCGTTGAGTAAATTCTATTGTTTTGATCGTTATTACGTATCAAGACTACTGTTTTCACTTTAGTTGAATTTGTTTCAGTTAAAGTATTCGATTACAGCACCGTTTCTGCCTCCATATTAGTTTGTCGTCGGTGTTTCAAAAAGGGCAGTGATTTTGTACTTGTTGTGATTATCCTTGCTTTTGTGTAATTATTGCTAGGAAGCATTCTTGGTCTAAATCAAAGTACTTTAGTTAAGGTTTGGAATCTTGCCAAAGTTTGTCTTGTAGTACACTTTTACTCGTTGACTGACACTGTGTTCATACTGTGATCATATTGTGTTTTACACCGTAATCTGACTAGGATGGTTGGTAGGGCTCACAAATGTGGACAACCAAATGTTTGTTCCCTGTGGATGAAGGAATGCAGTGTGATGAATGCAAAAAGTGGTTTCATAATATGTGCACCCGTTTAAGTCCCACTGTATACGAGAGATGTTCGAAGCCTAACTCACATTGGCTCTGCATGTTTTGCTGTGCAAATAAGGCGTCACTAATACAGAAGACTATGAGCCTATTGGCTTTGGCCTGTACGAAGAACGATGCCGCATGCGCTGATAACACGAGCACTGACAGTGACGAGTGTGTCAGTGTAAAACGTGCTGTTACGAGACGCTTTAAACAACCGAATTTGACTGACGGAAAAGTGAAATCTCCGTTAACATGAACGACAGGGGTAGTACCACCTGACACTGACATTGGTAACCATGCCCTCCTAGTGGAAACTGAAGATCTGGATAAAACCGTCACTGATCCAAATGGTCCCAGTGTCCTGAAGAATGAAAAATGGACTACAGTACGGAGAAAACGAAGAGAAAAAGGCTGTAGGCAATACGCAGATGGCTAGCAAGTCGCTGATGGACTCCCACTGTAAGTCACTAAATGCACTACCAAAATCTGATGCACTGCCAAAATCTGATTGTACGAGAGAAACATACCCCGGCGTGAGTGAAAAGAAGAATCTAATCTCATCAAATATTATTGTGAGTAAATTGCTGGAGTCAAACGACCCTAATCCCAAAATTAAACACGCGCATGATATAGAGAAGCTGAGAATATATATTCGTAGTATCTTATCAGATGACTCTAAAGGAGTTCAGGTCCAAAAAGTGGTTAGAATAGGTAAGGGTCTGAGGAAAATGTTGAACCCCGCCCATGTAGACTCTTTAAGGTAGTCCTAGGATCGGAGAATCAACAGGATCTCCTGTTAAGTGGCGCTTGTTGTCACGACAATGCCGATATACGGATTAGACCTGATATGTTAAGATAGAATAAAAAGAAAGCATTAGCTGAACTAGAAACCCGTCGGCTAAACGGTGAGGAAAATCTCCGGCTAGTGGCTTTTCGGATACCCAGGTCTTGGAAGCGAATTCTATCAAAGCCTGTGTGAATAGTCCGTTCTACTTAGGAGTTTTATATGCCAATGCTCGTAGTCTAAGAAATAAGTTCTATGAACTTGAAGAATTAGTGGACAGAGTAAAGCCACTCATCGTAGCAGTGACAGAAACTTGGTTAGTCCATGACTTAGGCATTACCCCAGAATTATTCGGATACCATTATCTCAGGAGTGATAGACATAGATGTAGAAAAGGAGGTGGCGTCCTGTTATATATAGCCAATAATATAAATATCTGCTCCTCTGCTGGCGAATCCCATGATAGCGGTACTTGTGAAATCATTAGCTGTAAATTGGCTATTGGATGTAGTACATTTATGCTTGGTGTCATCTATCACAGCCCGATCTGCTTAGCCGATGACTTTATTTTAGAGCACATTCATCTTTGAAGTGCAAAGATCAGATGTTTGATAATAGGAGACTTTAATGCACCTGATATTAGTTGGACTGAGATGACCACGGAAGGATCTATAAACTCCTTTGATAGTAGGTTCCTGGTAACAATAATGGAGCATGCACTAGTGCAGCATGTATCCAAACCCACACGTCTTGGTGCTAACCAAGGTTCTTCTCTGTTGGACTTGGTAATCACTCATGAGACTGAGGATATTGTTGACCTAAATACTCTTACGCCATTAGTGAACAGCGATCACGCTGTTTTGTCATTCGCGTTTAGAACTAGGGACATGTTATACGATCAGGTTACACCGCGCCTAAATGTATGGAAAGCTAACATATCAGCCATTCAGGAATGCTCTGCTATGACAGATTGGTTTGTAGGTACTAGCTTATCAGTTGAAGAAGCATGGTCTGTATTTAAAGGTAAGTTTATTTTAGTTACGTCCCCATTCATACCATACCTGGTACCGCGAAGACCAAATAACAGTCCACCATGGATAACGAAAACAATCAGGAAACTTCTTAGAAAAAAGAAGAAGCACTGGAATATGTTCATCTCTACTGGCTTAGAACAATACAGATCCAGTTATTGTAAGATTAGGAATGCCTGTAAAGCTTTAATAAGTAAGACTAGACGATCATATGAAAAATAATTGGTTAGGGATTCTAGATATAGTCCGAAACGGTTATTCTCGTATTTAAAAAGGTGAAGTGAGAGAAGCGATGGAATTCCATCACTTTTGATACAAGAAAATCCGTTAATCTTGGCAGAAAATGATGTCGAAAAAGCTGAAGCTTTATCGGAATATTTCAGTAGTGTTTTCTATCGGTAATGAGGAACGACCAACGATTCATTGTGACTGTTGTGGCTCACTGGTGGACCCTGTAGTTATTGAGAAGGGCACTGTCTTAAGGCTACTTCAGCATATCAAACCTGATAAGTCCAGTGTTCCTGATGATAATCATCCTAGGATTATGAAAGCCCTATCAGATGTAATTGCTGAACCATTAGCAACACTGTTTGACATGTTTCTAAGACAGTCCAGACAGCCCAGAGACTGGAAAGACGCTATAGTAAGTCCGGTGTATAAGGCTGGGAGTAGGAATTTATTTAGTAACTATAGGCCCGTTAGCTTAACTAGTGCAGTTGTAAAACTGATGGAAAAAATCATTCGGATATCTGCTATAAACTATGTTGAAGGGCATAATCTTTTCTCCAGGGAACAACATGGTTTTTGGAGAGGCCTATCGTGCTTGACAAATCTCATTGCAAGAGAAGATTGGGCTGCTGCAAAAGATCAGAATACTCCTGTAGATGTGATATTCATAGATCTAAGTAAGGCCTTCGATAAGGTCTTCCACTCTGGTGTTAAATTCAAACTGGAACGTTTTGGAGTCCATTATACAGTTGTAGATTGGATAATTAACTTTCTGCATGACAGGAGACAAAGGGTCAGGGTGAATGGATCTCTCTTCTCGTGGGTACCTGTATAAAGTGGAGTTCCTCAAGGTACAATCGTCGGCCCTCTTCTCTTTTTACTTTATGTAAATGAATTTCCAACTATAGCGAAATCATCCGTCCTACTCTTCGCTGATGACATAAAGATTTGGAGACCCATACACAGTATGTCGGATAGGATAGTATCACAGGATGATCTTTGCTCAACGGTGGCATGGTTAGACAGGTGGTCACTAGAAGCAAATCCTAATAAGAGTGTGGTGATGTAAATAACTATGATGAATCGTATCACCATAGAATATGTGGATTCGTGCTACCCAAACTAAGGAACTTAGCAGTGATCTCAAAACCACTAGTCACTGTAAGGCTGCTGCTGCGAAAGGCTATGGGGTGTTATGATCTATTCGTAGGTCTTTCCAGTATTTAGATGATGAAATGTTTAGACTATTATACCCTATTTATGTGCGACCACATTTAAAATATGGGATTCAAGCAGCGAGTCCTTGTCTTAAGTATGAAGCAGAGATGCTGGAAAGAGTCCAACGACGAGGTACTATGATGATACAAGGTCTATCTGACCTATCTTATCAAGACAGACTGAAACACCTCAACTTATTTCCGCTATCTTAACGTAGAGTAGGGGTGATCTAATATTGGCTTATCGTACACTGAACGATGACCTTGTTATTAACATGTCTTATCTTTTACTTCCGTCCAGGACTGATCACTTGAGAGGACATTAGAAGAAAGTTCAAAAACCGAGACCAAGTCGTCTACGTCTGGAATTTCGTTTCTCGCAACGAGTATTGGATTACCGGAATTATCCACCGGAACACGTAATATCAGCACCTTCTATTGGTATATTTAAAACGAGATTGGACCTCCACAGTATTACAAACTGCAAGGATTAATATAGGTCGATAGACCTCCTATCCTTATTACTGAAGACTGAAGATCATGTTTGGGTACGCCGTTTTCCCAAACTCTCACAATAAATTATAAACTTAGATTGCACATTTCTCCATTCATCGGTGATTTCTCGAGTGCACTTTTAAATACCCCCATATCTGACTTCTGGATTGACTGGCTTTGGAGTCCTCTGTTAGACAAGATTGCGGATAACAGCGTTGACAAACATTGAACATCTTTGACATATTTACTAACGCAAAAACCTTGTCTTCTATTAACGAAACCAATAACAAAGTGTTCCTAATATCTCTCGCTCAAAAGGATCCCGTAATCCCTATATTTTCACCAAGGGAACTTACTATGTGAATGTCGAACAGTCTACCGATCCTTGTTAAGAACAAGAACAAATACGTCAATCAACGGCACTCCGTGGACGGACGCGTGTGGAAGTGACTCCGCTTTGTGCTCTTCCACCTATCAATACTCATATATACTGTTGCATAT